CGCCTTGTGCTGGAGCGTCCCCCACCCAACCCTCACACGTACGCCGCCCTTCAAGCTTGTTTTTCCCTGTGAAGCTCCTCTCCACCCCTCTTTTGTGTCCATGGAGTCCCTCCCCAGGAGTGGGGCGCAAGCCCTTGGAGGACAGGGGTCTGTCCCCTTCGCCCCTCCTTTCCACACTCAGGTCGCGTTCATCTAGCAAGTGCTCAGACCATATTTGTCGAATTGCACGGAATCAGGATCTTTCTGCATGGTTATGACTCGAGACTCTGCTGGACTGACCCTTGAAATGTTTTCAAAATTCCAGAAGCTAAAAATATCCCTCCCTCCGCCTGCAAGTAACTGCGAAGCGTTCCTTGTAAGGAACAGGACTTGACTCCTGAGGCTGAGAGTGTGTGCCACCAGGTGGCGCCCTGGCCCTCACATCTCCAGACGCCTTTTTTAGAAGACTGGATTCTCTCCCCTCCTTGCTGCCTGTCTCCCGCTGCCCGCAAACAAACAAAAACACATAAATAAAACGACTGCCATCAGTGCAGCACACAGAATCAACCCCAGCCCAGCTCAGGATGGGCATCTAGAGGGCACGGGAAACGCCCTGAAGTCGGGATTGGGAGACCTAGGTTTGAATCCATCGCTGACGCTCGCCAGCTGTGTTTCTCTGGCTGAGTCCCTTAGCTTCCCTGGGTCCCTGTGAAAGCAGCTGTGAATAAAAAATGGGGAAGTAGGGGGCAGCAAGAGCATAGTGGTTAAAGCACTGGACTCCCACATGGCTGACTGTGGTTTGAGACCTGGAGTCGGCAGCTTGTACAACAGGCGCACATGTGCATGCCCAAGATCCCGAGAGGAGAACGGAGGAGAAGGGATTGCGGTGTGGCCATCCCCTGGGGGGTGATTTCTCACTTTCTCTCTCTCTGTCTCTCTGTGTCTCTAGTGAGCACACAAGTCTCTCTAATTAAAAAAGGGTGGGGGGGGGAGTACACAAAAAGCACTTTGAAAATGGCGGTGGGACCAGCCACATCTGGGCTCTGGTTTGACGTGTCACCAGCCCGTGACCATGTCCACCTCACCTCTGCACCTCACCCCGCACCAGCACATGAGAGCTGATAGCAGTCCCTGCATGGGGCTGGAGTGAGGCTCAGGGAGAGCCGTGAGTGTAAAGTGCCGCTCCTGTGCCTAGCATGGAGTAAGCACTTATCACATGGATGTCAGGGTTCCCCGGCCCAGGAACAGTGCCTACCGCTTAATACTGCCCGATAATCTATTTGCCGAGTGAAATAATCTACGGATGAGGAAACCGAGGTCCTGAGAGGTGACGCCACACCCCTACCCCAGGGTCCGAGCACCAGGAGCCAGGCAGTCTGGCTGCAGGGCCTGCACCAAGCCTCCACGCCATGCTGTCTCGGATGAGTAAGGTGTTGGACATTCGCTCACGTCACACACAGGAACGTTTAGGGCTTTCTCAAGCATGCGTCGTGGTGCTGCACTGGCAGGGAGGCATTTGCTCCCGGAGAAACCACTTAGTTGTTCTGCCCCAAGGACAGCCAGGCTGCTGGAACAGGGCCTGCTCAGCCAGGAGCAGGCGGTTCCTCTCACGACTGGGAGAGAAGGGCCAGTCTGCAGTGTGGACGCAGCTGGAGGGCCGGAGGTGGATGCACGCGCGGTCCCAGAGTCAGAGGGGCCTCTCGGCTCCACTGCTGTCCGGCGGCCATGGATGACTGCTGTCCCCGTCATCTCCTCCACTCATCTTTACTGAGAGACTCTAGGGACAGGGAAAGATGGATGAGACGTCACGAGGTTACCACGCAGCAACACAGACTCTGCCGCAGAGAGGCCCGAGGGCAGCCTAGGTGACGGGTAACCCACAGCCCGGGAGGCTGGACCAAAGGGAGCCCGCATTGATTTATTTAATTTTTATTTATTGCTATTATTTCCCAATGTGGCCAGAAAGAGTGAGAAAGGGAAAGTAAGAAAGCAAGAAAGCAAGCTACCAGGGGCCAGCAGTTAGCATAATGGCTATGTCGCTGGACTCCCACGTAGCTGACTGCGGTTCGAGTCCTGGACCCGGTGGCTTAAACTCACGCAGGGCGCATGTGCATGTGTGCCCAAGATCCCGAGAGGAGAATGGAGGAGGAGAAGGGACTGTGGCGTGGCCATCCCCTGGAAGGTTATTTCTCTTTTTCTGTCTCTCTGTCTCTCTTTCTGGAGAGCACATGCACCCTATAATAAAAACCTCTCAAAAAAAAAAAAGGCAAGCTGCCAGGTCCAGGGCTTGAACTGCAGTCAGCCATGTGGGAGTCCAACACCCCAACCACCATACTACCAGCTGGCCCCTGGAGCCAGCATTTAAACTGGGCATTTAGGATAAGTAGGCATTTGCCAGCCAGGTGGGGTCATGGGAATAAAGGGCATTCTGAGCTTACTGAGGAAACTCCACAGGGTTGGCGGGGTTGGCATGCTGGGTGGGAGAGTGGGTGAGGGGAGCCGGCAGCTGGGGGGGACTGGGTTATGAAACATGCCGTGCAGAACAGAACCTGACCCTATGGTCAGTGGGGGAGCTGGCAGTGAACAGCCAGGTCTGTGTGTTAGAAATGAAGAGGGGCTGGGACCAGCAGTTAGCGCAATGGCTATGTTGCTGGACTCCCATGTAGTCAACTGCAGTTCGAGTCCCGGACCCAGTGGTTCAAACTCACGCTGGGCACATGTGCGTGCATGCCCAAGATCCTGAGAGGAGAATTGAGGAGAAGGGATTGTGGCCATCCTTCCCGGGGGGTGACTTCTGTCACTGTCTCTGTCTCTCTGGTGAGCTGACAAGTGCACACACCCTATAGCAAAAACTTCTCCTCCCCCCCCCAAAAAAAAAACATGAAGAGGGGCCAGCTGTGGCGATGGTTAAGGAGACTGGACACCGCACGGCCAACTGCTCAGTTGAGTCCTTGACCTGGCAGTTTGAAAAACACCCCCAGAGAGTGTGTATGTGCCTAAAAATCCTGAAAGACTGGAAGAGAGGCGGGTGCAGTGTGTGGGGCGGGTACTTTCTCTCTCTGTCTTTGCTGAGTAGAGGCACCTTATGGCAAAATTAAAAACTAAAATAAGAAAGAAACGGAGGGGAGAGAATAGAGACCAACAGTTGGGGCCAGCAGGTGGCACAGTGCTTAAGACACTACATTTCCACCTGGCCAACCTGAGTTTGAGTCCAGGACCTGGTGGTTTGAAATCCCCAGGTGTGGCTTGGTCATCCCCTCTGGGAGGTGATTTCTCAGGATCCCTCTCACTGTCTCTGTCTCTCTCCAGCAAGTGCACACATACTATGGCAAAAACCTTAAAAATAGAGCAGCAGTAATTACCAGCTAGACCTCACTCTTTAACCCTTTCTCCTCAGTAAAATGAAGATAATTGTGCGTATGTCTGGGGGCAAAGTTGGCTGGGAGACCTCAGCAACCTCTTGGCCTAGCAGGTATGCGCCTGCGCCTTGCTGTTTCTTGGGCCTGGATTTCTGTCCCGACCACGTTCAGTGGTATGTCCCCCTTACTCAAGATAGAATGTGTGCAGGAGAGACCCGCCACAGGGTCTGGTCACATGACTCCCACTCCAGTCGGTGGATTTGAGTACTGGCCCTGCCCGGGGTGTTCGGGTGGACCCGGCGTGATTCGGACCGCAGGTGCCATGCAGGACCCGACCCACATCACGCTGTGTGGCAGAGCGGGCCCAGGGAGCACGTTTTCAATCTAGGCAAGACAGGAGGTTGGCAGGGGCTTGGAGAAAGTTGGAATTGTAGTGCTGAGTGCCACGTGGCAGGGGCAGAGGGGCCCTGGTCTCTCCCTGACACCAGAACTCCATGGCTAGACAATGGGTGAGCCCGGCTTCAGCCAGGATGTGCCCTAGGCGGAACTGGCAGGCCCCTGCGTGTCCAGCGAGGACGGATGAGACCGCCCTGCTTTCCCTGCGCCAAGGAAGGGCCAGGAGGCCACGGAGAGCGCTGTGGCAGGAGAAAGGAGAAAGAAAGGGGCCGAGCCTGAGGGTGGGGACGACGCTCCAGAAGCTGGCTCTCCCCTCAAGGCTGGACAGGAGGCCGGGAGGCAGCGAGTAGGGGTAGCCCCAGATGTGGCAAACCTGGCCCAGCTGTGCACCGGCCCGACAGAGCCCAAGGCCCGCAGAGGGCTGCGGGCTGCGGGGGCGCTGCGCCCTGTCCCGAAGACAAGCGAATCCGAGCTGGGAGTGTGGCGCGGGGAAGAGGGGGGCGCCAGGGTGGTGAGCGAGACGGAGAGAGACGGCAGGAAGCAGGGCGGAGCGGGTGGGGGTGGAGACCGTGGCGGGCCGGGAAAAGGGCGGGGAGGAGGAGCGGAGGCCCAGAGGGGGAGAGGAGGGCTGAGGGAGGAGAGAGGAGGAAGGGTGGGGAGA